ATGTTTTGGATTGTTGGGTGTTTCTGTCTCTGCCTTTGTGAAGTTCTATGAGATGACTTGTTGTAAATATGCGCTATACAAATAAAATTGAATTGAATTGAATTGAATAAGGAGACTAAAGTGCAACAGGGTCATTTCTTCTTTTTCTTTTCCATCAAACAGGGTCTCCATCACTTCAATCATGCACTCTTTAATTATTTCTGCATCAGAGAATGGCTTCTTACACTTACCCAACACCAATGCAACTCGAAGTGAACACTCTGTTGCTACTTGTTGTTGGATCATGGATCTTACCAAAATCTTGCTGGTTGTTTTATAAAATGATTTCAATCCATTAATTTTTAGTTTTCTTTGGTCTGAATTTTGAGGAAAGCTCTCCTCAAATCTTTGGTGCTTGGTCTCATAATGGCTTTGTATATTTGACATCTTTATCAGAGCTACGGTCTCTTGGCATATGAGACACATTGGTCTTGTGCTGGTTGGAGGGAGAATGAATGCATATTGCTCGGTCCATTCATCTTTGAATTGGCGATTTTCGCTATCCACTTTTCTTTTGCCGGCAAACTTGGAACAGGCCATGTCATCATCGAGGCTCCGACTTTCGCGTAAAGCACTGGTAAGCGCACAGTGGTGAAAACGAAACTTAAAAAAGTGCCTGTCTGGCTGCAGCAGTGACCCAGCAACAGCCTATCAGCGCATCGTTTGTATAAAGAATACGTCACACGAACAGTACATGTACCGACCAAACCAAAACACGCTCAGTGAAGAAATCACCCATTCAGCTCGCGGTCTGCAAATCAACGGCCTGCGGAATGAGGGGAAACTGGCTGAAATATATATATATATATATATATATATATATAGCAGATGCAGAAATTCTGGTTCGATCTCAAAAGCAGGAGCAGCGCTATTACATACAATACAATTAAATGCTACAGAATGGGACATGAGTCTAGCAGTCTGTCACTGCTTTGGAGACAGAGCTGATAACACAGTGAGACTCAGGCAGGGGTTGGATCCAAACTAGCGCTACACAAACAAGAAATGCAACTAGCAACTGAGCTACATTGGAAGCAAATGAAGGAATGATACATAAGTTACACAACCAACCAGCAACAACACAATCACAGAACAGACCAAGCAGGAATTACGCGAACAAGCAATCAAAGCAGATCAAGGGAATGCTACAAATAGACACTAGAAGCTACACTCTACACTTAACGGACACGTCAGGGTTGGACAAAGATAGTTAATAATATGAGGAGTGGGGATCCAGGTGAGTGTGTGAGGAAGAGGAACCCATTTGATCGTAGAAGCAAAGGCAGGCATGGCAATCCAAAGAGTATGAACAGAAAAGGGCCAGATGGGCTGTGGTCAAAGAGACATGGCGTAGTCGAAGAGATTCCAGCGTGGCTTGGAAGAAAGAGCAGGGAACCTGGCGGAGAAACTAAAATGGAACAGACAGAAGTATAACAGAAGAATATATCTTACAAAACTCAAGGCAAAAGTGTAGCTTGGCCTCAGCTGACTAACTGTGCCAAGATCCGCAATCTGGTTCTGAATGACAATGTGAGCCACGGTTTTAGGGAGACCAGAGTTGAGCATTGTTGTCTTCACTTCTGTTGACTGAACCACCACCCAATCACACATGCATACACAAACATGGACCCAATCAAGCCTGCAGAGTGGCAGAGAAGGAATAGAGGGAGATGGAGACTGCCTGGTACACAGAGGTAGACACAGGGGCCTGTTTTCTAGCTTCCAGCTTTCCTCAATACACCTGAGCTTTGAAGTCCAGAGTTGCATCATTTCCATCTGAGGCCAAGACCTTTCAAATAAGAAGCACTTGGTGTTGTCTTTAACATGCCCAACTACTTCAGACCAAGGTATACACTAGTTTACTGGAAACCCTGTTATCAATCAAAAGTTGCATAAGCTTTTAAATTTTATCTATGTAGTAATAAATTCCTAAATGACCCTCAGCAATCTGAATTTTGTAATTAAGACTAGGCTTGTTGGAAAAAGATTGACTTACAGTGGTATTCACACCCCTTGGAAGTTTTCCCCTTTATTGCTTTTTGCCATTGAATCGTGGTTAATATAATTCTTTTTTTTTTCTTTTTAATGAAGAATTTAGAAGAAAAAAAGTAATGCCAATTAATAATAAATATAAAAATATGTATTCATCCCCTTTAAAGTTACTCCCCTAATTCAGCACA